GCCCTAGGAAGTACTGGATTAAAATATTAGACTAATTAGCAAGTTATTTGAATTTGGACAAATTACCTGTTTCAGTGTCAGTTTCTTCATGTATAAAATAGTGATAATTTCAATTATCTCGTATGTTTGGTGTGAGAGCTAGAAATAATAAATGTATTTAACATTTAGTAGGTTTAATGGAGCTCTGGTAGCGTAGTGGTTACGAATCGGGCTGCGAACCTTAAGGTCAGTGGTTCGAAACTACCAGCCGCTCCGCGGGAGAAAGATGAGGCTTTCTATTCCCGTAAAGATTTACACCCTCGGAAACCCTGTACAGGGTCGCTATGGGTCGGAACCGACTCAACGGCACTTAACAACAACAACATTATAAAACTGTAGGATAAACATTGGACTAGTAACCACAAGGTAGGCAGTTCAAACCCGCCAACAGCTCTTGGAAATCAGCAGGGGTGGGGATCCTTTTTTTCTGCCAAAGGCCAATTGGATATTTATAACATCATTCGTGGGCCATACAAAATTATTAACTTCAAAATTAGCCTGCTATATCTGGTCAAACATTTAATTAATTCACACCTAATGTGAGGGCTGGAGTCCTCGTGTGGCACTGCAGAATAATGTACTAGACATTAAGGTCAGTTTGAATCACAAGGTTGGTGGTTCAAACTCACCAGTTGCTCCTTGGAAACCCTATACAGGTTCATTATGAATTGGAACCGACTCTATGGCACTTAACAACGTGATGGCTGGAACTGTGGTTGCCTTGGCAGAGTCTGACCAAATGATTTCACGGCCTTATACTGCTCTTGGGCTGGATATTCTGCATCCCTGCTATAGGATTGCTATAAATCAGAACCAACTCCATGGCACACAGCAACAACAACAGTAACAAAACCAAGAAGTGTTAACAGCAGAGAAATAGAAGATTAGGAATAGTAAGAAATGAAAACTGACATTGGATTTGAAAAGCACAAGGTAAAAGGTTGTTGTAGAAAAACAAATTTCAGTGGCATATTGGAAGCTGGTATTGAGGGAAGATTAAGAGTTTCAAAGACAGATTAAGAATGTGACATCCTTGCTTTGGCTGTGAAACTAAAGGGAAGGAAATTGTAGACAGCTGAACATATTTATACATAAAAAAGAAGACTCCAGAAGAGAGGGAGAGATTTGAAGTTACTAGAGTACCAGATTAATGGGTTAAGTTTCTTGGAAAGAAGGTTGGGGTCCAATGCACAGATGGAAGACTTAACCTTAAGTAGAAGTTAAAAAGGAAAGATGATGTGAACACAGGTAATTTTGTAGGTTGCTAACAACAATGGATGGTTTCATTTTTCTCCTGGTGGGTTCCTATTGTTGACCCTTTGGTGCATTGAGTACTGTCAGACTAGTACTCAAAGCTCTCAATGATTTGCAGCCTGTCTCACCTCCCAGAATTACTTCCTACCATCTTATACCAAGTCCTTTTTGCCATGTTAACTACAGATCCACGTACTTTTTACTCCATGTCCTTTCAGATCCAGGTGACTGTTCATGTTCTTTTCTCTTCACATTTCTTTACTTGGCAAGCTCTTAATTGTTCAACAAAAGATGGCACCTTTAGAAACCCTTTTCTAAGCTCTCAGGGAGTTGTCCATATTTTCATAACTCCCTGTGTTTACTTGTTCTTTACATCAACTTTTTGAAGCCCCCTAGCATAGGTAAGGGAGTCCTAATGTGACCCTGTGGGTTAATGCAAAGCCATTTGAACTGCAAGGTTGGCAGTTCAAACTCAACAGATGCTCCTTGGAAACCCTATATAGGGTCGCTATGGATCGCAGTCGACTCAGCAGCACTTAACAACAACAACAAAGCATAGCTAGGAGTCCTCATGTGGTGCTGTTGAATAAGAAATGGACCATAACGTCAGTTTGAAGCACAGGTTCGTGGTTCAAACTCACCAGCTGCTTCTTGAAAACCCTGTACAGGGTCCATATGAATTAAAACTGACTTCTTGGGCTGCTAATCACAAAGTCAGCAGTTCAAATCCACCAGCTGTTCCATGGGGCAAAGATGAGACTTTCTGCTCCTATAAAGATTTTCAGCCTTGGAAACCCTACATAGGGTTGCAATGAGTCAGAAAAAAGTGACTTGCATTGACTTTTGAGACAGTAAAGTTAACAATCAGATTACCATGTGCCTTTGGAAAGGCTAGTGTTTAGGAAAGAGCATGGGCTTTTGGATCAGAATTAGATTTGAGTCTTGGCACATCAATAATGATGTATTTAGTCTTGGGAAAGCTAGTTATTTTCTGAGCAACTTTTATTTCATTTGTAAAATGAAAATACTATTTACTCATTGGCAGATTAATCAATAGGCAATTTAAGCACATGCTTAGAGTTCCATAAAAAGGACATGAAAATGACACTAAACCATATGAAGCAATGAGAAAACTAGTCACAATGAACTTTATAGAATATTTTAATTAGAACATTAAAAAATCTTTTAACTTAATCATGTCTATTATTTTGAAAAATAAAATTTCATTTTGAATTAGATACGAAGACATCTTGAAATTTCTTGACTATGACTGATTATATCTTTATTGTAGGGATATGATAAAGCTAAATTAAATAAAGCTTAAAAAGGATCTTAAGTATGCATGAGAAAAAGCAAGCAGTAAATCCGTTTGTAAGTTCTTGTCCCTTTCTGCCTTAGCTTATCTTAAAAAAATTTTGAATCTGGTGCTGCAGGATAATGTACTGGAACAAAAGGTCAGTTTGAACTGCAAGATCAGCGGTTGAGGCTGCTCCTCAGAAACCTTATACAGGGTTGCTATGAGTCAGAACTGACTTGAAAGCACTTAACAACATTAGAAAAAGAAATTCTAGAACCAAGATCAAGAAAGCCAATAGGCTTTATTTGCATTTTAAAGGACCGTATGAATCAAAATTGAAATTGTTGCTGATAGTGTCTTTCCTCATATTTTAAGAGTATTTGTTGTGTGACAGGGAGGGGCTATCTGTGTCACTTGTGACTTGGTGGGAGTGATAGTTGAGATACTAGAAAATCTCAGTCTCAATTTACTGCTTGATTCCTTTTGGTAAGAACTAAAGGGGTGGCAATGTGTTATCCTTGTGATGGGATTTCCAAGTATCAAGATAACCTTCTATACCAAGGCATTTAGACTTTTGAGAAATCAGATTATTTAAGTTTATATCATTATTGTATTCGCCTTCAACCTGTGTATTAATTAAAGATCACAAACCATTATTTACATAGGCTAACCCCAAGCTAGAGACACAGAGAAGTAGAAAAGCCGATGATATTTAAATGTATGCTGTTGCAACCAGCAGCATTGTGCAAACCTAAACCTGAGTGATGTCACTGAGTCCAAGAAGATCTTGAAATGCAGCAGATAGCAGAAGGAGGTAGCCAGGACAAGATGCAGGATTCTCACTGTCAATTCAATGATTGGGCTGGTTACAAGGACAAAGATTCTGGTTTCCCTGAAGGCTCATTATCCTCTGCTTGGCTATGAGGAGTAGGCTTTCCTAAAAGATTAAGAGGATGAAAGTTTTGCTAAGGCTCATCTTTCCGGACACAACTATATATTCCAATTAGCATTGACTTCTTCATACTTGGAAACTGCCTTAGTTCTGGTGCCTATGAAGAGAGCCTGAACCTCTCCTTGCCTTCACTCATTATTCACAAAATTTAATACAACCCTTATCAGCTGTGATATTACATTCTATGGTTCTTTGTAGATTGCAGGCAAATTATATGCCTGAGCCTCTGGATTCTTTCCAATGTATTTTTTCTTCAGATACACAAGTCTCCTAAATAATGAGTCGGTTTAATTGACTCTGTCTGGAAAAGAAAAATTTGTCCACAAAGAGGGCACTTCAGAGTAGTTTGCCATTGGTCAGGAAGAACACTGAAAGCAGCAGGAACAGCCCTAGTTTGTCCCTCCAGGGGTAGCATTCCAGGTACGTAGAGGTTGTCACTGGCCAATCTACTGAGAATGTGGACATAGAATGCCTCAGGTCTGTGAGGATCAGAGATTCCGAGGTCCAGAAAGCTATTCAGTCCCAGGATAATGTTGTCTTTCAAAGCTAAGAGTTTCCTTATTTTGAGGAGACAACATCAATTCAGGCAATGATCAGAGTCTCAAAGGGCCTCCCATCACGATGGCTGCCATAGGAAGTGTTACAGGTTGAATCAAGTCCACCAGTAACATGTATAAATTCCTGGATCTCATACCTGTGAGTGTGATCATATTTTAAAATAGAGTTCTATTTTTCGCTAAATAGATCAGGCCTTTTTGCTAAATAGGATGGGCTCAAAAATCTAATCACATTTGAGCTATAGAAAGAGCAGAGTGAACAGACACACACATGTGGGGAAAGACAGGCACCTTACGAGGATCATCTACAAGCCAAGAGAAGTCAAGGAACCAGGGAATATCCAGGGCTGCTGACGAGCAATCAATATGGCCAAGACACTGATTTGAATTTTCAGTCTCCAGAACTGTGAGAAAATAAATTTCTGTTCTTTATAGCACTCGCTTAAGGAACTTGTGTTACAGCAGTACTAGGTAACTAAGAGAGGGAGATGCAGAAAAGACTCTTGATCTGGGTCTTACAATCCAAGACTTAACATTTCAGGTGTAGAAGACGGGAGTGATCTGAGCCAGACACACCAACTAATCTTCAGAGTGGCAAATATTTCCTGTTTAAGATGTATGTTCAGGGGTGGGGGATACACTGTAGGGTGGATATTTACCATGGTAATCAAACTCTGCATAATTTAGCCCTCATTTAAAAATATGGAAATGTGGAGCTCTTTATAGTCAGGTGTATGTATGTTAGAAAGATAATCATAGATCTGTACAAGGCATAAGGGATCTGAATGCACTAGATTAGGGCACAATTCCCTTGGGAAGCCTTTTTGTAAACTGAGCAAGACAGAATAGAGATGTGACAGGCACTAGCTGTAGGGATAGAGAGGAGAAGATAAAACTTGAGTCACATAAAGGCAGGAATACTGCTGTTAAAAGACATTTGGAACTGACTTTTAGTGACTTCCCTGCCAAAGTCTGCTTGCTGGAATGTTGACACCTCTGCAGAGGAAAAAGAGACAGGGAGAATGACTAGGAAGAGTACCAAGAGGGAGCAAGTGGAAGTGTCCAGAAGGAAGTCACAGTATTTAGTAGACCCCTAACATCCCAGCTTCAGTGGACACAGGGTCAGAGGGGCTTTGTTTCTTCCTCCATCATTGAAACCAGGATTGAAGAAGGGTCGCAGAGGCCCACCAAAGGCACATTCAGAGAACGTGTAGATGAGGGAGCCATGGTCAGTGACATTGTAGAAGGAGACAGTGCAGTTTTCACAATCCAGGAAAATCCCAATTTGACTCGGAGGAACCTGAAGGTGGAGGGAAGTCTGGGGCGAGGTTCCAGCTTCATATTTTTGTTTGTTCCACAGCCAGACTGTCCAAAAGCCATTCTCGGGGCTCAGCAAAAAATGTCCTTGCCTTTGCACAGAGTATCTACAGACCCCCAGGTCCCAGGCCTCCTTTCCAGTCACATCTACCTCCCAGTAATGCTTTCCCGAGTCGAAGCACTGGGCACCTAGGACCATAGGGTAAGTATCAAATCTCTCTTCAGTTTCAGGCAATTCCTGGTGGATGTCTCCAAGTCTAACTTGTCTCCGATCATCAGAAAGGATGAGCCACGGATTGGCTGTGTCTGCATCCAGAGTGATGTATACTGCAAAAGAGGGGACCATAGTTAGGATTGGAGAATGTGGGGTGGCTGGGGGTGGTGGTCAGTAGCCTGCGCATGTATAAACTACAGAATGAGGATGAGGGGGTGACTCTGGGCATCAGTGTATGAGGAAACACACCCCAGCCAACTCTGGCCCTTGTCTTGACCTTTGAGGGGTACCACCTTCATTATCTCCATCCTGTCCCACCTCTTCAAACCTGCCATCTCTGGTCAGCTCTGCTATTCTCTGCCACCCTAAGCATCAGCTCTGAATCCTCATCACACCCTCCTGCTCCTCACACAGGCCAATCCCACAACTCCTAAAGTTTGCCTTACCTCCACGTGTCCTCAGCATCTTTTTCAACCCCGGTACACAGCACTCACTCCGCAGGTCTGGGCAGGTAAACTCTACCTCCTTCAGGTTCCAGGTCTCACTCCTGAAGGATAAAGCACTTGAGAACCCATCTCTAATTCCTGCCACACCCTTCTGAACTCTAATGCTGTAACCTCTCTCATGAATAGCTGTGACAATTTAATTCAACAGGAACATACAAGCACCTCCTGTGTTCAGTCCTTGGAGTGGAAGATTCAGTTTCTATCCAGGACTTCCTGATTACATGAGCTCTGCTGCATGCAGATAGTTCCTCTCTCCTGCCCAAGCCTGGTCACCATGTAAGTACATTCTACTGTGTTTAACAGGCCAGACCATCTGATACCAGCCAATTTCCTTCTGTAAGAAACCCCAAGGGATCTCACCCATGCTGTGGGTCTTACTCATCGCTCTTTCCTGGGGGTTTGTAATGGATCAATTTCATTTTAAAAAGGAATCTTAATAGACTATAGACTCAGAACTCCCCAGAATTTCCCTGTTTTCCAGGGATTTACTTTGTGAAATTATTACAGACCAATCACTATGGGCAGCTCATGAACTGGGATGACCATTAATTAGTCTTCTGAAACTAGAAAAACATTTAAGGAGTATCAGATCTTTGAGAATAGAGAAAATTTTACCATATGTTTTTGTAACTCAATAACCTTTTGCAAAGTACATATATACACACACATGCTTCCTGCCACCCCTACCCCTTACAAAGAAAGCTTCTCCTTACCTTTCCAGGATACTTCTAACCTCCTGAGGAGAAAAAAGACAGAGTAAGTTCTAGAGTCAACGGTTCAACATTGAGACTTTAGTCCTAAGGGTGATGTGATACAAATGTATGGTTAGGACAGTGCTCTGTGTCATTCTAGGGGCAGAAAGTCACGTCTGAACAGCTTGAAACAGATAGAGTATGTGGATGGTTGTGGGTTAGTCAGGAACCTAGCGTAGGTTTGACCTATAGCTCGAGGAAAGCTCATCCATCAGCTTAAGGGCTTTGACTCAGAAATAAATTTGAAAGCTCAAATCTGGGCTGAGGGGGTACAGTGGAGAGGGGAAACTAGTACAATCTGGCTGAGATCCAGAAACAGCAATGGGGAGAGAGAATAACTGAGCTAGGAAGCCTAGAAACTGCTTTATCTTATTTGTAGTCAGGAGTTGTATGGGAGAGAAAGGCTGTCTGGTCGAAGTTTTGACCTGTGCTGTAGTTAACGTGACCTCCTGTATGTGAAATTAAAGCATCTGAAATACTCGAGTGCAGGGGCTTGGGAGCACTCCTATGGGAACTGGGAGGCTCCTGTTGTTGTGAGGTGCTGACAAGTCAGTTCTGACTCACAGCAACCTCATATACAACGATGGAACACTGCCTGGTCCTGCACTGTCTTCACTGTCATTGCTATGCTTGAGAATGTTGATGCAGCCATTGTGGCAATTTATCTCATTGAGAATCTTCTTTCTGATGCAACTCCCACTTGGTCATGATGGATTTATTTATTATTTTAATCCTTCCTGTCTTTCTAGTGACCTTTTGATTCTTTCATGTATTATGCCCATAACTCATCTGGTCATTAGTGTTCAATGCATTAAATCTACTCTTGAGATGGTCTCCAAATTCAGGTGGGGTATACTCTAGGGGTACTACTTTGACTTTAGTGGACCTGTTAGGCTCCTAGATTCAGTTAAAGCTGTATCAGAAAATCAAATTCAATGTCAGGCAAAAACAGATTTAGATGATGGGAAGAGAGAGTCTTTCATGGCAACCCAATGTAATGTTAGCCTTTTTACACAAACCAGCAAGAAATGACTTCATGACCACATTTGAATGTGAGATATCAATTAGATGTGGGAAAAGAACTGTAGAATGTTGAAGCAGAATGGGTTAACTCAATCAAGTTGTTTTGTTTTAGTCTTTCTGTAAGACTCTTGGTTCTTCATCTATGAAACTGGGATATTAGTGGCACTAACTTCTTTGCAGTGTCATGAGGATATGCCTGGCATATGTGCTATATAAGGGCTTATAGGTATTATTATTATTGTTATGAGATAAATTGTAACAAAACATAAGTAACAAATCAGCAAGGAGGCACAATGACTAAACGCTTGGCTATTAACTAAAGGGTTGGTGTTCAAGTCACCCGGCAAACTCATGGGAGAAAGACCGGCAATTATGTAAGATTACAGCCAAGAAAACTGGTTCTACTCTGTCACATTGGATCACTATAAGTCAGCATTCACTCCATGGCACATAACAACATGTCAGCATAGAATTTCTTGGCTATTACTACTTAGGAAATTTTTTCCTTAAAATTACATTTTCTCAGGCTAATAAAAAGTGAGACAATTTGAGGAAAAATAAAATGTTAAAATCATTTATGAAGTTTATGGAAGTGGCAGGAAGTGTAGAGATGATATATTTATGAAAAAAACTTGGAGAAACCTTTTTATTTACTCCAATCGCTACTCTCTCTGCTTTACAAATGCTGAGATGAATCCAGGAAAGGAAAATGACTTAACTTAAAGCTATCTACAGAAGTTAACAGCAGGACTAAGGCTGGGTTACTGTCTCTTGATTTTTCAGTTCAGTGATTTTTAGTTATCCATCATTAATTAAGACCTCCCCAAAACGAGGCCAGGAGCAGACTGTGGCAGAGACTGTCAATTGCTCATATGCAAGTTCAGGCTGAAGCTGAAGAAAATTAAAACAAGTCCACAACAGCCAAAACATGACCTTGACTATATCCCACCTAAATTTAGAAGTCATTTCAAGAACATATTTGATTTACTGGAGACTAATGACTGAAAACCAGAAGAATTTTGGGATGACATCAAGAGCATCGTACATGAAGAAAGCAAAAGAAGGTAATTAAAAAGACAGGAAATAAATAAAAGACCAAAATGGATGTCAGAAGTAACTCTGAAAATTGTTCTCGAACAGAGAGAAGCTAAAGCAACTGGAAGAAGTGAAGAAGTGAAAGCTCTGGACAAAAAATTTAAAAGAGCATCTTAAGACAAAATCAAGTATCATAATGAAATGTGCAAAGCCTTATAATTAGAAAACCAAAAGAGAAGAACATGTTCAACATTTTTCAAGCTAAAAGTACTAAAGGAAAAATTCAAGCCTTGACTTGAAGTATTGAAGGATTCTAAGGATAAAATACTGAATGATGCAGGAAGCACCAAAAGAAGATGGAGGTATACAGAGACACTGTACCAAAAAGAACTGGTGGACGTTCAACCATTACAGAAGGTAGTATTGAAGGAAGAAGGCCAAGCTCCAATGAAGTTACTAGTGAAAAACAAGGCTCCAGGAATTGATGGAATACCAATTGAAATGTTTCAACAAACTGATACAACTCTGGAAACACTCAGTAGTCTATGTCAAATAATTGGAAGACAACTACCTGGACAACCAACTGTAAGAGATCTGTGCCCATTCCAAAGACAGGTGACACACAAAATGCAGAAATCATTGAACAATATCACACATAAATAAAATTTTTCTGAAGATTATTCAAAAACACTTATAGAAGCACATCGACAGGAAGCTGCCAGGAATTCAAGCCAGATTTAGAAGAGGATGAAGAACCAGAGATATTATTTCTATTGTCAGATGGATCTTGGATGAAAGCTGAGAATATCGGAAAGATGTTGTAATAATTAAGGTTTTGTGCCAACTTGACTGGGCCAGAATTCCCAGTGATTTAGCAGTGAAGATATGGCTACCACGTCCATGATCAGAGTTAGTATGATATGGTCACCCCCATTATGTGAACTTCTGTGCTCAGGTCTGATCTGTTGTAATGATCCTACACGTTATAAATTCTCACTTCTATGATGTTAATGAGGCAAGATGCAATCTACAGGATTAGGTTGTATCTTGAGTCAATTCTTTTGAGATATAAAAGGAAAGAGTAATGAGCCGAGCTCAGAGAGACCCACTGCCACCAAGAAAGAAGGGCTGCGAGTGGAATGCATCCTTTGAACCTGGGTCCCTGGTCTGTGAAGTCCCTTGATCTAGAGGAAGATGATATCAAGACACATAGAGAATGCTAAGGAATGCTGGACCCTCTGATGCTGAATTGAGACAAGGACATTTCTTCAGAGCCAGTGCTCTGATTTCAGACTTCTAGCTTCCTAAACTGTGAGAGTGTAAGTTTCTATTCTGTTAAAGTCATCCACTTGCAGTACTTTTTGTTATAGCAGCACTAGATAACTAAGACAGATGTCTACTTGTGCTTTATTGACTATGTAAGGGCATTCAACTATGCGGATCGTAACAAACTATGGATAACATTGAGAAGAAAGTGAATTTCAGAATACTTCATTTTATTCATGCAGAACCTGTATATAGAACAAGAGGCAAAATTTCAAACAGAACTAGGGAATACTGCGTGGTTTAAAATCAGGAAAGGAGTGTGTTCTAGTTGTACCCTTTCACTATACTTAGTCTGCATACTGGCAAATAATCTGAGAACTTAAACTATATGAAGAACACAGCATCAGGATCAAAGGAAGACTCCTCTATGACCTGCGATATGCAGATGACACAGCTTGCTTGCTAAAAGCAAAGAGGACTTGAGACGCTTGCTGATGAAAATCAAAGATGATAGCCTTTGGTAAAGATTACAATTCAATATAAAGAAAACAAAAATTCTCACAACTGAATCTATGAACAACATCATGATAAATGAGGGAAATGATTGAAACTGTCAAGGATTTCATTTCATTAGATCTACAATCAATGCTCATGGAAGCAGCAGTTAAGAAATCAAATTATTACATCAGGCAGGTCGCTACAAAAGACCTCTTTAAGTTATGAAACAGCAAAAATGTCATTCTGAAGACTAAGGTGCACCTCACCCAAGACGTGGTATTTTCAATAGTTTCATATACATGTGAAAGCTGGAAAATCAATAAGAAAGATCAGACAAGAATTGATACATTTGAATTACGGTTTTGGTGAAGAATCCTGAAGCACATGGGACAAACTTTGGAAAAAACAAATCTGTCTTGGCGTAAGTAAAGCCAGAATGTTCTTTAGAAGCAAGAATGGCAAGCTTTTGTTTCATTTACTTTCCACATGTTATCAGGAGAGACCAGTCCCTGGAAAAGAACATCATGCTTGGTCAAGTAGAGGGTCAGGGAAAAAGAGGAAGACCCCTACAGTGAGATGAATTGACACAGTGGCATCAACAATGGACTCAAACGTAACAATTGTGAGGGTGGTGGAGGACCAGGCAGTGTTTTGTTCTGCTGTGAACAGGGTCACTATGAGGCAAAGCTGACTTGATGGCACAAACATGGCCAGATGCTCATCTAAGGGCATTAGTGGATTCTTGCTTTTAAATTTCACAAAAATGAATAGCACATGTGGCTTTGAGAGAACCCCTTCATCATCTTTCTAAGCATCAGAAGGAAAACCTGTCAATTACTGAACAACAACAACAAAAAAGGTCATTAAAAGGAGAACAGTTCCATTCTGATATACATGGGGTTTTCAGGAGTAGAAAGTGGTTCAGCGGCAACTGGTTTAGTTTGGTTTTTTATTCTATGCAGCAATGAACAGAAATGGATATCCATGTGTGTCACAATAGAACTGTCCTCCATAGAGTTTTTAATGATGATTTTATTTTTTACTTATTTATTTTTTTGCAGCAGATTGCCAGGTCTTTTTTCTAAGGTGCCTCTGGGTGGGCTTCAACCTCCACACGTTAATCTTTTGTACCACCCAAATATTCTGCTGCATGGAATATTCCCTCCTAAAAACATGTTTCTAGGCCTTGAATGCAAACCATCTATAAATCCCAATTCAGCTTGTTTTAAAAATATTACAAGAATATTTGACTACAGCAAGAACCATTTGCTCTAATGGTAGACCCAGGGAACTTTTTTTCCCCTCAGTTACTCCATGAGTCTCCAAGGGAGTCTCTCCCTGGTCTCACCTGTAGCAGTCCCAGCGCTGAGCCCTGACGTCTCTGCTCCAGTTCCAAGATCAGCTCCTGCAGACCCTGGATTTGTTGGGCCAGCTGGGCTTCATTCTCTCCCAGGATTCTCAGCTGGTCCCTCTCATCCTTCTCTAGTTTCTGCAGCTGCCTCTGTTCTTCTTCAGCCAGAAAGTTTTTCTGCTGCACAAACTCTGAGTGAATCCTCAATTTGTGCATCTCCATCTTTTTCTTTAATGTTAAAGGAAAGAGAGGTGTGTTTTTTATCAGTATCACTCAATTGAAGGATGGAGATGTGTTGATATCTATCTTCTGCAGATTCAACACTCTGGTTCTGTCTGGGGACACACACACACACACACACACACCATTTTGGGGAAGGCATCTGGGACTAAGACGGGATTGGGACTGGTGGAGCACACTGAAGTTAGCCCATAACCACGGGTTGATCTCTCTTCCCAAAGCTAGTTACCTCACACAACCACCTCAACCAATACCATACCTAAACCACAGGGAAAGGAAGTATCTAGAATATTCTTTGCCTGTCTTCTTTTGTTGGTAACTAGAGGGTCACTTCTTTGTACTGCAGCCTGAATCTTCCCTTGCCTACCCCAAATCTTCCGCTTCTGGGATTTGCTACCCAGGAGCTTGTACTTCTCTTCTTCAATCTCTGACTTGCTCCCCCGATTCCTACTCCCCCGCACTAGCAAATCACTAGTATAAACAAGCTTTAGTTCTCCATTACACTTTGGAACAGTGATAAGGACATGGTCAAGCAACCAATCACTATGCTCAGACTGGTGTTCCTACTTCAGCCTTAAGCCTATTCCTCACAGCCTTTACTATTTACTAAATGGCATAGTGGTTGGGATTCTCTCTTGAGATAACTTTGTCCCAGATAACAAGGCACTGGTATTCTCATCTGCTGAGACTGGACTCAGAGATGCAGGGAGCTTTAGGGTATCTTCTTTACCCCCCTCAGTACCCTGTCATATAGACTATCAAGCTTTGTATTTGATTCGAAGTTATCCTAGCCTCCTTCCTTCTTATTCCCCTTTATCAGGAGACAGAGGATGGCTGATTCTCAGAGAGTACGATATGCTAACCCTATAGCTATTCAGTTAGGACCTTTCTGAGCCCAGGGCTCTGAATTCTACCCAAACTTCTGATGTAAGATCCCTTTCAGAGTGTGACTCTTGCCTTCCAGGCTGCTCTCTTCTCAGCAACATCGATTTCCAACTTTTCAGCCAATTCTTGCTTTCTTCTCAGCTTCTCTACTGCCACTTGGATCTTCACCTGCAAAGAAAGACAGCAAGTCACTCCCCAACCAGATTAAGAAGTTGGATGGGATAGCATGGGATGGTGAAAGGTCACACTGGTTCTTAGAAAAGCCTAAGTGCAGATAAGAATGGAGTAGTAGAGTCTGAGTGGGGTGGAAATTCTGTGACTGGGAAGATAACTTTCTTGTAGACTAGAGCCACATTGTTGGGGAGGTAGGGATGGAGGGCAATGCTCATTCCTAATCAACCAGGAAACTGATCCTTGTAGCATTTTCCCATAGCATATTTCCCATTTCTGGGGAATGAGAAAGGTGTGTTTAATCTGCAATTCTCTTCTTAGATTAGACATGGAGATAAACATCCTTTTTTCCCCCAGTCCTTCAACTCCAGAGGCTTCTCTTTCCCAATCGTAGCTCTGGAGAACAAAGCATTCATTGATCAGGGCCCTTGTCTTTACCTGCTCATGCTAAGAGCTTACCTGGTACTCCTGAGCAGCCTCCTCAATAGGGATCATGGAATGGTCACGGTGTTTCCGGGACTGGGCACACACCCAGCAAAGGACTGTCCCATCTTTTTCACAGAATAGGTGAAGTTTCTCTCCATGCACTTCACACTGATCCCCTTTTGTGCCCTCCTTGGCACTCTGGCCCATTTGCCTAAGGTTGTCCATCATGTTGGCTAGCTGCCGATTGGGCCGGCAGTTCCTGAGCAGAAATCTGTGCCGGCATACAGGGCAGACACTGCATCCATCTTTCCCTACCTCAGAGATGCACTCTTGGCAAAAGCTGTGGCCACATTCGATGCTCACAGGCTCCACCATGGGATCCAGGCAGATAGAGCATGTGACCTCCTCCCACATCATTGCCAGGGGCTTTGCTGAAGCCATAGGGATAATAACCTTGGTAAGCAGCACTACACAGAGATCTTGTGGTAAACTACTGGGGAAAGAAAAAAAGGAAACAAGAAGGTGAGAAGGGTTGAGTGAGAAAAATAAATGATTTAAAGGGAAACATGACAAGGATTGAACTGGAGGGGGTAAAATCAAGAAAAAGCAAGAACATCAATCTGAATAACAGAGACTTTTCTTCCACAGTCTAGTCAGACAGAAGTGGAAACTAAGTTTCCAAAGTGCAGAGAAAGTTGTCCAATCTCAGAAAGAAAACTGTTTATAATTGTAGTTTCATCACACCCACCCACCTAGGCTTAAACCCTTCATGGTATCCCCATTATAATTCAAGGAGAGAACAACCCAACTGCCAAGAAGAAGCGACAAAGGATGATGGGATGAAAAAAAATCCTGTGCCAGTCTAGGGCTGAGCCCATTTAATTATAATAAGCTGTCAGTTTGAGGTGTGCACAGTAGCCAAATTTACTGGAAAGGTGGTCCAGGTGGGAGTTGCTGAGGCAGGGGACTCAGGCTGTAGGGTTCTGAATATAAGGTGTGGGGTTTCCAGCTTTCACACTAGGACCATTTCCACCAAATGCCACTTTGAGAATTCTTCTGGTTATTTATTATGATATTTCTTTCCATATTAAGGCTTTTCCCATTCATCTCCTTCCATCCAATCACTGATTTTGCTAAGAAGTTAATCATAACAATAAGTTAGTGGCTGTGAAGTAGACTCTGAATCATGAGTCTATAAACCCTATACTCGGTAGGGTTTCAATGGCTGATTTTTCCCAAGTAGAATGCTAAGCCTTTGTTCCAAGGTACCTATGGATGGACTCAAAGCGCCAATCTTTCACACCAAGCATATAAACCACTGGCATTATCCAGGGCAATTCCTTAATCTTTACAGTACTGGCAAGAGTCAGATGTGTGTGTGTGTGTATATACATATACTCATATATACATATGAATGAATCCTGGTGTAGAGCTGTGGGTTAATGCGCTGGACTGCAAAGTCGGTTTGACTTTGAACGTAAGGTCAGCAGTTCAAGCTTACCAGCCACTCCTCGGAAATCCTACACAAGGTTGCTATGGGTCAGAACTGACTCGAAGACACTTAACAACAACAACAACAACAACATATACTTTATGTTGTTAGCAATCCAGTGCTTAAGGAGCTCTGGTAGCGTAGTGGTTATGAATCAGACTGTGAACCCCAAAGTCAACGGTTCGAAACTATCAGCTGTTCCACTGGAGAAAGATGAGGCTTTCTGCTCCCGTAAAGATTTGCAGCCTCTGAAACCTTGTACAGGGTCGCTGTGGGTCAGAACTGACTCCACGGCACACAACCACCACCAATCCGGTGCTTACCCTGCAGCGCCAAACCACTGGACTGCTAACCACAACGTTGGGAGTTCAAACCCACCAGTTGCTCCTTGGAAACCCTGTACAGTGTCGCTATGAGCGTAGTCGTTACTAATCGGGCTGCTAACCTCTAGGTAGGCAGTTCGAAACTATCAGCCGTTCTTCGGGAGAAAGATGAGACACGAGGCTTTCTGCTCCCGTAAAGATTTACAGCTTCGGAAATCCTGTGCAGGGTCGTTATGACTCGGAACCGACTCCACGGTACTAAACAACAACAACATGAGTAGGAACTGACTCGATAGCAGTTAACAACAACAACATACATCAATAAATTATTTGCAGACAGTTGCATAGACTGCAAAATGAAGGAGGGCAAAGAAAGGAAGTAGTTTTACTTTTGAGGGTTAGGAAGGAGAGGAAATCCCCTAAATTACTGGTAATGAGAGGTGGAACTGGGAACGCTAAAAAGTGTGGCCAGCACTTTCTGGGTTCCTCTCTAAGCTAGCTGGTTTGGGTCTACCTATCTTCCAGGGCCAGCATACCAACTAGTACAACATCCTGTGCAGCACTGCCCCTCTCACCTTCATAGGAGGGTTTTTTAAAATGGGAGGGGAAGAAAATTCGTTTCCTGGGATTGTCGACTTCGGGCTATAAACCCGGTTCTCCCAGGTTCTCCTGTACCCCCTTCCCAGCACTGCCTCCAGTATCTTCCCAGCTCCAGCCCACTAACTTTCACTTTCAGAGCCCCGCCTCCTCCCAAGCAAACTGACCAGCGCCGGAAGAGCTTTGGGTCGACTAAATCGTGCTGCAGAGAAGGGGCAAATGGGACAGAAAGCTCTAGGGGTGGAAGGGAATTTTCAAATCTGGGTGAGGGGGAGAGAAGTCAGCAGGCAGGGCTGGGGTTCCTTAGCCTAGCGGCTTTACTTACCTTACCAGGGGACCAGTGGTTGGCGGTAAACGCATTAATTTCACTTTCGATTTCCTGTCAGGCACTCAAAAAAAAGGGGAGGAGAATTGAAGAGAGGGGAGGAGAAACGGGTGTGGAGGGACAGAAAGGCCAGCGGCGGCGGAAAAGAAGTGAAGTGGGAGGGGAAAAGGCAAGAGGCCTGGAAGAGTTAGGTCTAGGGAGGTATTAGAAGATATTGATCTCCTAGACACGCGTTTCTTGGGAACTGGGATTGAATGAGAACCCAGGAGCACTTCAGCCTAGGCTCACGCAGTCTGCCTTTGTCACATGTAGGCGCATCTCTTCATTTCTCCCTACTGGCCCTGAGCAACTAACTGTGTCTAGGAGTCCCAGGTTCTCTCCCTTTTAAGTCCTAGATCTGAAATTGTTGTTGTTGTTAAGTGCCATGTATATGTGTGTTGCTGTTAAGTGCCTTCGAGTCGGTTCCAACCAATACCTACCTTGTATAGGGTTTCCGAGGAGCTGCTGGTAAATTTGAACCGCCAACCTTGCGGTTCAAACTGACTTTGTAGTCCAGCGCATTAACCCACAGCACCACACCAAGATCTGAAATTACACTCCGGTTTATGCACCCTCTTCTGTGCTGCCTCTCCCCTCCGCTGCACCCTCCCGCTCTATAGGAGTATGTCATCCCGATGACTGCCTCTGGGGAACACCTTCACCTATTAGGGGGAAGAAAGGAGCTGGAATCTCAGAAAAGCAAGGAGGATTTCTATTACTCTCCCCTAAATGAGTGTGAGGGACACAGAAACTTCTGCACATCCCGTAGTTAGAATTTGGGGAATGAGAAAGTGGGTGGGTAGTGTGGAGAATGCATCCTGCCTTTTTGTCTAGTTGTTAAATAATAAAAGTCTCTGGTAGTGTAGTGGTTACGAATCGGGCTGCGAACCTTAAGGTCAGCGGTTCGAAACTACCGGGTGCTCCGCGGGAGAAAGATGAGGCTTTCTACTCCCGTAAAGATTTACACCCTCGGAAACCCTGTACAGGGTCGCTATGGGTCGGAACCGACTCGATGGCACATAACAACAACAACAACAACATAAACTTATCAACCCATGCAGCTATATTGAGTTTGATTCTAGTAACGTAAACAGTCTCTGAATATTGTGAAAAAGTGAAAATAAAAACAAAGCAAAAAAGACGCTCAAAGATAAAAATGACTGCCTCACATCATTACAGACCTTATGCTGTTTGTTGCAGGAATTGAATAAAAGCTTATGGCTTTGAAAAGAGCGTAGACAGACACCGGACTCAGTGCTGGCTCTGCTATTTATTATCTGGATTTCTATCTCTCTTAGCTTCAATTCACTTATCTAAGCAGGGATATGAATACATGTTTTGGTCATGACAAATAAAGTATTGAAGTTGTAAAGAGTTTAATCTTACTTGGATTCATAATCAATGCCCATGGAAGCAGCAGTTAAGAAATCAAATGGAAAAAAAAAAAAATCAAATGACATATTGAATTGGACAAATCTGCTGTTAAAAGCAAAGATGCCACTTTGAAGACTAAGATGCGCTTGACACAAGGCATAGTATTTTAAATCACTTAGTGTGGCGCTGTGGGTTAATGCGCCAGACTGCAAAGCCATTTGAACTGCAAGGTTGGTGGTTGAAGCTCATCAGCTGCTCCTTGGAAACCCTGTACAGGGTCACTATGGGTCAGAACTGACTCGATGGCGCTTTACAACAACAACATATGCATGTGAACACATGACAATGAATAAAGGCAGACCAAAAAGAATTGATGCAATTGAATTAAAGTGTTACTGAAAAACAATGAATATGCCATGGACTGCTGGAAGAATGAACAAATCCGTGTTTGAAGAAGTACAGCTAGACAGTTTCTTAGAAGTGAAGATGATGAGACTTTGCTTCACTTACTCTCATGGGTTGAATTGTGCTCCCCCAAAGTATGTGTCAACTTGGCTGGGTCATGATTCTTAGTGATTTGACAGTTACATGTAATGATGTAATGTGACAATTACATTCTCCATGATGTGATCTCAGGTGATAAACCAGTAAGAGGGTTAAGGGTGGGCTGCCCTCAATCCCATAACAACCCTGATCTAATGTAAATGAGTTTCCCAGGGGTGGACCAATAACATTTTTCATCTTACAAAGATAAAAGATGAGAGAAGTAAGCAGAGAAAGAGGGACCTACTGCCACCAAGAAAGAAAAGCCAGTATTGGAGTGCATCTTTCAGACCTGGGGTCCCCACACTGTGAAGATATAGGGAAAGATTAATGCCACGTTACATGGAGAGCTTCAAGAAATGCTGGGACTACAGCTGCTGAAAGGAGACAAGGACCTTTCCCCAGAGCTGACAGAAAGAGAAAGCCTTCTCCCAGAGCCAGCACTCCGAATTTGGACTTTAGCCAAACACTATAGCCTCCTAAAATATGAAAGAATAAATGTCTGTCTGTTCAAGCCATCCCCTTGCAGTGTTTCTGTTCTAGCAGCACTAGAGAACTAAGGCACTTTGTACATGTTCTCAGGAGGAACCAGTCCCTGGAGAAGGACATCATACTTGGTAAAGTAGAGGGTTAGTGAAAATAAGGAAGACCCTCAACAAGATGGACGGACACAATGGCTGCAAATATGAGTTTGAACATGGCAATGATTGTAGGGATGGTACAGATCTGGTGGCGTTTCCTCACACAT